AATAAATCTACTAAAGGCGCGGAAAGCAATTCTTTTAGTGTTGCGATATACTATATTCGTATTAATGGAAGGGGCAACCAATATTTGAGAACATGCACTGTCGCACTGCTGCACTTATAGTTAAGTCTATACTGTAGCACTATTGTCTCCGGTATTGAACGGTGACATTACAGCAGGTGGTATATTGGTGAAGAAATTAAATAAGCCAGTACAGGTAGAGTATCAGAGTTTGAATTTTAATAATCGTATGCCTAGTTCTGAAAGTAAATTGTGTAAGCAATATACCTGGCTCATTATCAATGAATAACTTCGACATTGTCGGATTTAACAGACTCTGCATTTGAGTATGTAGTGGACGTAAAAACAAAAATGAAACATTCATACCAAATGTGTACTAATAGAAGTAATAATTAAACATGGACATTACCGATAAATCAACGTCCTTTTGCTACATATTTTTACTGGAGCATTAACTATTAAGACTAGAATATTCCCCATGAATTAGCATACTCTGCCAATGGTCCTCAAATAAAGTGTCATTTCTGTGTTTAAGAAATGAACATTGGTTTGTTAAGGTAAACTTAACTATGTGAATGTCGTGTGACATTTTTGGGACACGTGTCCCTCGAGCCAAATTGCCAGCAAAACGTTTCGTTATACGCAAGCTGTACGAGAATCCATAGAAGAAATTCATCTTGGATGCGATGACAAATTTGAAGGTATAAATCAATGGCGCATTAAATTTGGTATCATAACCAATAGGAATATGCAATTTATGTAAGAAAAGTTTACTTCGAAGCTTAACTACAGGAAGTTTTGGATCAATTGTGTAACAATTGATACAAGCTCCTGCGTTGGAAAATTTCCATGAAAAAAAAGAAAAAAGAAAAAAATAGACGCCCGCGACGCAGCTGCGAGGAAGGGGGGAGTCGTAGGCATTCGCGCCCGTTCGTCTATTGAGGCGAGGGTTCTATAAACGTTTATGGCAGGACACCACCGCGCCAAATGTAGAGTGGGTGCCGCCTATTCAAGCGACCGCTCGTAAAATGAACCCCAACGCCTTCTCAGGGGAAGAATTTACAACCAAACGGTCAGCGGCGCACGTGCGAAGAAAACAGGCCGATAGTTTTTTTACAACAGCAACGGACATTCTGGCCGTTTAGAAAGGTTCCCGTGTGATTGGTCAGACACCTCCACCCTGCTCCGGGAAATTCTACCCCGCGTATCGGGAGGATACACGTTCTTTGGAGGGAGGGGGTACCGAGGTTTGATGTTACTAGGCCGCCGCTCGGTAAGCACTGTGTGGCTGGAGAGGGCCGCGAGTGGTCGATGAGACTTGACTTTATAACTCTGCCACGAGAAGTAACTGTCTTGACTCGGCCATGAGAAATCAATTGATTTCGATCTCGATTTGATAGTTCGGTCACGAGTATTCACTTCGCTTGCTCAGTTAATCAAGTAGCATTCGAAGCAAATTGCGGAGGGAAGTTGTTTGGCTTCCATTCATCGCCGATGATTACCGTGGCTGCCTGAGGTTGGTGTCGCTGATTGGAGTAGTGGGCCCCGCGGGAAGCGCGGCGACATCCAACGGCCACGCTGGGAGCCCCTGTGTTCACCGCCTCTGCCTGGAAGGGGGCGGCCCGAACAGGGACGACGGGCGACTACACCACCGGGCGTGCGATGAGGCCCGCCAACAGAAACTAGGGTAAATAATCCGCTTGGCTCCCGCATAAATGCGGTCGAACACTTACTGAGCGAAGCGAGGGGGTGGAAAGGGTGCCTTCAGAACAAAGTAACCATGACGACCCGTTTTTTTATTGTATTAATTTGAAATAGATGACCATGTCAAAATAAAAGAAAGGGTCGTTTTATATTTTTATTAAAAATTGTAAAATAATTGTAATTCATCAATTTTTTTAAGTAAATGTTTGTTAATGCAAATGTTTTTGACTATTATTGAAATTCCCATTCCCGTTCCAGACAGACACGCGTGGGGTTACAATTGTTTTAGGAATATAATTTTATCTTTAATTGATTAGCACCTCTTTTACATAACTAATTTTATACTAGTTTACATTACAAATTCGAGATTTTTTCATTTAATGTTTATCTTATATGCATGTGCAGTTTAAAAAAATTAGTGTTATTGACTAGGATATTCAAGGAAAATGTTTAGAGATTTGATAGTAATAAAATCCACAAGATGATCCGTGGTGGTTTGTGTGTGTGTGTGTGTGTGTGTGTGTGTGTGTGTGTGTGTGTGTGTCCGTGGAACATTTGATAATGAACATTCAATTGAAAATAATTTACCATAACCAAACTTTCGAATGAACCGCGATCTGTATATATAGTATTTTAATGAAGTTCTAAGGTTTTTACATGCCATAATTCATAGGCAGAGAAAAGTACTGTAATCGTGTGCCGGAAATCCTATTTTTCGAAAACATCTTATTTTTGTGTATAGTAAAACACTTGCAATATTCTCTAAATTTTAACGGATAATGCAATAGACTCCTAAAAATGGCAGAATTTCGTTTTAACTCAGCTTTCGGAAACGGTACAAACAAGTAATTTTACAAAATATGATAGCTGTTGTGCCTGTTGCAGCACAGGTTTAGGTTTTTAATTATCCTTCGTATCTTATTACATAAAAGTGAGTAGTTTTCTACGGCATCCAGGTGAATAAGCAATAAATTCCTTGTGTTGATGACTCAGTAGAATGAAAGTGACCGTAACATAATAAAAATTGCACATACGTCATTTCGAAAGAAATTTGGATTTATAATTAGTGTAGCTTCATAGGGATATGCTCTCTTGCATCAGAAGACCTTGCGAGGTACAGGCATGAGGACAGCTAAAAATAGCCATCCGAACCATGAGCGCCACACCGCACCACAGGGCTTTCCAACGGGGCGAGGTTACCTGGTGCCGGATGTAGCAGGCAGACAGCTTCTTGCGGGACATCGCAGGGCGGCGCGTGGGAGTAGATGACGTACCAAGTGACGTGGAACGTGCCTTTAAAAGGGAATGCCGCAAAACCTTGCGTGGGGGGTTTAGGATTGCGAGATTGCGGTATTCACTACCTGCGTAGGCTTCCGCGGGCGGATTCGATGCATTCGTGGCTATCCGGGATGAGCCGCGTCTCTGTCAATTGTACCGTTTCGGCCATCTTGCTCTGGCCTTCTTCAGAGCTCTACTGCTCAAGTATAGTTCTGAAGATGGCCTCAGAAAGATGGCCGAAACGTTAGTACAATTGACCGAGACGCGGCTCATCCCCGGTAGCTAAGAATGCTTATTCGCTACCCGAGCTCCGGTCGCCGTGGGATAAGCAGTCCTTTAAACTTAAGAGCAGAAAGTGTAGCGAAGCGAGGCCCTTTGGGCCGTGCTAACGCGATGACGTCACGAGCTGCGTCCCCTAGCAGCGGCCGTGGCGGCCACGGGCGCTAGGCGTTGTGCTTCACGGAGACGCCGAAGCGCTTCCATGTTTCTGCCCGCAGGAACACTGACAGGCGCGGACCTTCCGCACCGCAAAATATTGCCGTATCGCCTGTAGCCACATCGCCGTCGGCTGCTACTGAGGCGTCATATCAGTCGCCTTGTACAAACTAGATAAAATATTAGCCACGTGCATTTCATGCACACGAAGTGCACGAGGGAGTAGTTTGCGACAGCGGGCAACGCTGGCGGGAAGGGGATGCCCTTTTTAGGACAGTGTAGGCCTGATCTGCCAGCAACGTCTCAACTTTACAATGGTAGTCTCTGGTTTTCATGACCACCGTGGCATTGTCTTTGTCTGCGGGTACTACGACAAGGCCCTCTCGCTAACGTAGTTCGCGCAACGCCACGCGTTCCTCGCGTGGCAAGTTACTACGTAGCAATTTAGAACGGGCCAGAAGACGAGCCGATTCTCTGCGAATGTAGTCAGCCTGGTCGGCGGGCAGTTTCGAGACCGCGTTTTCCACCCCTGCCACTATATCCGCGGTAGGGACGCGATCGGGTACGAGGGCGAAATTGAGACCTTTACTCAAAGGTGACACCGTAGCTTCGTTTAACTGTTCATCAGTTAGGTTTACGACAGTACTCGTCGAGCCGACCCTACAGGCCTCAGGCTGTTTGGCCTTCAGTTTGTCAAATTTGCGAATTTGCTTACATCTAGATTTATCAAGTACACTTTCCGCGGCTTCAGCCGAAACAGTATCGAGTGTGATCCAATCAGATGCACTGAGACAGCATGCAAGCATTAAACGAATATTAAGCAACTTACGTTCGACGTCGGAGAGTTGCGTCCTAGTATGGCGGATCCTTTCGCGTAGGAGAGCGAAGCCCGGTCTACGAAGAATCCGTAATGCTGCCTGGGTCTGAGTCTGGTGACTTTTTTCGAGAAAGGACGGCAGAACGTCCTCGTCTGCACCGTCCGGCCGCGAAAGCCTACGCTCTCACTGCGATTTATTGCCCCGGCAAAGACGCCACACTACCACTGCCGCCGCCGCAAGGACAAAACTACTGACGCCGGCGCCGAGGAAGGGGATGGTGACCTGTACACGCTCGATCGCCGCCAATGACGCCCTCCCCCATCCTCTCTACGGGAGCGAGGGCGTGTTCTTCCTCTTGGAGGCGTTGCGGGGTGAATGCAGCGATCTGGTCGCTGCTAAAAACCGGAGAAGCCATGCGACTTTGCACAGCAACAATTGAGGATTACATATCCTCCGTCTATTTCGCGAGGGAACTACCGAACACCATACTTATTCGAGATATACTTATATCATACATATTCCATCGGTAATGCGCGGAAGCTGCGGGTCGTCATCCGCGGCGTCCCGCTGTCAACAGATGCGCCATCATTAATCACCGCCCTCGGGCGGCCTCCGCTTAATTTTCGGGCGGAGAAAGCGGAACGGCAGACAAGCAGCGAGCCCGGAAGAAGAGGACGACCTATTCCGATCGTCCTCGAGACGCTGCCGGACCAGCGCAGAATCTTCGCGCTGCGAGAACTGCAAGGACTACGGATCTCGGAGCGGTATCGGCCGCCGAGAGGACCCGTGCAGTGCCGCAATTGCCTTGACTTCGGTCATGTGCAGCGGCACTGCGCACGCCACCCGCGCTGTGGGAAGTGCGGCGCTGCGCACGACACGGCGGCCTGCCCCCTCGGGGACAACCCGCCCGTTGAGTCGCGACGCTGCGCTAATTGCAGAAACACCACGGCGCGAGGCTGATAATAAATATGAAAGAACATTCCTAGCCAATATCTGTAATGTGACTGTACTAAAAGACTTACTAGAAAGATGAACCTGTTATGATCAATCAAACTTTTATCACTAGATATTGAATGGCCTTGAAAATATTACTGAAATTAACGATGAAGACTATCGAGCGAAGTGGCACTGTGCGTAGCTGACTTAGTAATCGGGAGGTCCGGGTTCGATTCCCGGGTCTACAATCGCCTTTCACCAATATCCTATCATTTAATAAAATTAAAAATAAAATTAAAAAAATAATAAATATTTCACAGAGGGGACAAAGTTGCTCGCGTCCGTAGTCTACCACACGTGTCCCCTATGCAACGCGAAATGAGCAACAGTGATTCGCCATCTACGCTCTTGACCATTGTGGGCGTGCGGATCACTACAAGCTGAGAGGAAAGTCTGCGCGTCTATACTGGGCGCGTCACAAAATGGCTAACATGCTAAGGGTGGGTGTTGATTTAAAAAAAAAAACAAAAAACTGAAGACTAGCATTGTCCCCATGACCTAGCATACTGACCAGTGAAGGTGGTCCTCAACGCAAATTAAATTTCTGTCTTGGAAAAAATTATCGGTTTTTTAAGGTAATCTGAGCGCGATATTTGTCCTGTGACAATTTGGGACATATGTCTTTCATTCCCTAATGAGAGCAAAATATTATCTATTTCGTTACACGCAAGCTGAACGAGAATTAATACAAGTACGTATTGAAACCGATAACAAATTTGAAGGTATAAATCGATGGTGTATTAAAGATGATTCCATACCCATCAGGAATGTACAATTAATGTAAGAAATGTTTTGTTTGAAGGTGAGCTACAGTATATTTTCGATCAAATGATTTAAGAATATAATTTTTTTTTATTTACAGGCAACCTATCAAAATTTGCTTTAATTTATTTTAGTTTACATTACAACTTCGGGATTTTTCCTCTTTTAATGTATCTTACAGAAATGAATTAAAAAACATTTAATATCACTAGGATGTTCAAGGAAAATTTTTAGAGATGGGCGTTTTATAAAATTCATCAGATCCGCGGTGGTGTGGTGAAGTGTGTGTATGACCGTGGAACGAGTTTCATAATGGAAATTTAATTGTACAGATTACACTAACCTAAGGAAACTGAGAATTAACGACGATCTGTATATACAACATTTGAATGTAGCTCCAAGGTGTTTACTTGCTCGCCGTACATCATAAGCATAATAAGTACTGCAATAACGGCACCAGCAATTGATTTTTAGTTACAAATCCATCTTATTGAGGTAACAATTTTTTGTATGTGTACCAAAATGCTTCCTCTAACACTAACGTGAGTCCTTGATATTTAAATGTATTGACAGCAAAACTTCTGCGACGACTAAACCCGTCATAGGATTTTCTTCAAAATTTATATTCTTCCATTGCCCTGAAAGAAATACATTTCTACTTTTATTGAAGTGCCCCAGTCACTGAAAAGCTATCAAATAAATGTTTTCATATTTTTGGGAACAGTTACTCTCTTTTTACATTTACACTCTTTACTTAGCAGTTTAAAGCCTTTTTGGATTGTCAATAAAGTTAATGTAAAACTAAATCCCAATGTGAGAAAATCATTAGTCACTGTGCAGCTTGTTTAATCTTTGCCAAATTCGTACAAATCTGCGCAGAGAAAATGTTTTAATTTTTGTTCTTCCATACGGTGAGAAAACTACAGTTTTATATTTCAGGGTAATCAAGTTGCTCAGAGAATAATGGCAATTTCCACTTGAACTCAAAATCTTAGTTTATGACCATCTACCTATTAAATTATTGATTTAAAAACTAGAATGCATAAACCTTCACACAAACAAATGAATCTTATCGTTTTTTGAGCAGAATATTTGGAAACCATTTGCACAAGTCCAGAAAAACCGAAGGGGAGTGCAAATTTAAGGCACCACGGGCATTTTCTGAACAACTTCAATCTATCATTATTGCGAAGCTTCTCTGATATATCATACTTCAATAGCATAAATTCCTTCTGCAATAAACTTCTGTAAGCCGAGCAAAGCGAAATTGAAGGTAATTCCAAAAAGAATAGTCCAAAGCGGGTTTGTCGGATCACGTGCTTCCTTTCGATATGCAGGCGTAACAATCTGAAATTCTCATTCCTGGAAAATTTTCATTAGTAGTAAAAGCATTTACTTTACACTGTTTCTTGATACACAGACGATCTAGAGCTCTTAATTCGCTTCCATTTGTCGCAACGGCAATGTCATCTTGCAGAAGATTTAGCATCACGCTTCAGTGTTCAGTACTAGCGAAAATTATGAACAAAACTTCAAACCATTAAATTTACGGTTTTAAATAATGTACTTCCAAATATAATTTTATAGGGACCTTCATGATATGAAATTGCTACACCAATAGTTTTCGGCACATGTTCCACATTTGTAACAGTTTCCGGTTGAAATGAAATCTATCTGGACACGTCGACACTTCCACAAATCTGCATCCGAGTGCAGCGCGAACTCCTCCGGACTCAGTCCGCATGAAGGCGCCATAAATAGCCATCTTGTCGAGGTCCTACCTTGGCAGGCATAGGTTGACCTTTTCTCGTGGCCGAGGCAGGAAAGTGAATCTCGAGATCAATTTCCTGGAAGCAAAAGGGCATTTTGAAAGACATTGGCAGACAAAACGAATAAAGCACTAAGAAAAGTACAGCAAAATAAGTAGAGTATTGTCCTTAATTATCTAGAGACACTCATTGCAATGAAACTAGCAGATACCTGCAGATACAATGATCTATTAAATACGATCAAATTATTGTTCTGAATGTATCCTTGAAATTAGTTTGTTATTTCCGCGTGATCCACATTCATACATTTCTAATTAGCAGGATTAGCGTTGAAGTGTCGCTAGACCACGAAAAGAGACTAAAGTTTAACACAGTACACTTCTCGTTTCTCCAGTATTTTATCGCAAATTTCGGAATATTTTCATAAAAAAATATTTCATAATCATTCACATCAACCAAACCGACTAATTTATAGTATAGTAGATATATTAAGATTTTGGAAAAGTCGACAATCAGTTTCGAAGTTATTTCTAAAAATGTATTTGCAGATTTAACATTCAAGATTTCCTACTGCAAAAATGAAGTTCAAGGCGTGTTGTATACAGTTTGTTAAGACTAATCAAAATATTCCAGGTTTTTTTTCGTGAACATGAGAAAACTACCGTTAGTACTGAGCCTGTTTGTGAAATTGAAAATCGAACATACAAACCATCTGGAGGACTTCCGAGACAGCAAAAGGAAAGTTGCATGCGAGACATTGCATTTCACCAGCGCTCGAATATGACAACTTCAGCAAGCAACTTCAACAAGCGTTTCAGTTGCGGGGAGCTGAGAGGACCGAACACCGTTCTCGAGTTATCTGGATATTGCCGGCAAACGTCTCAAACATTTCAAAAACGCACTAGAGCGCGCGCAAATCGTTTCAAATTCTTGGCAGTGATGGCGCAGGAGAAAATCTTTAATATCAGATCTTTGTAACGCAAATAAGAACTAAAGCAATGCAGGATATCACAGAATTGCTCTACAAAGTTTCGAAATGATTTAATGTTTTTAAGGATAACGAGCAACAATACCAACAGTGTAAATTCAAGCTACTCTTACGAGAAGTGCACTTGGTTCCACGAAGGGTCTAGAGACACATTTCAACGCCAGACATTTCTAAAAAGTTTGATAAATTCTGCAACTTCTCTTGATGAAAGTGTAAACAACAGGGTAAACTACAAAATTAATATTCAGCAATTTTAAATGCATTTGCAGATTGTTTATTAGACTTCCGCCCCCCCCCCCTAATCATCGCAAATACTTCTATATGCCCGGAAATAATTCCAGAAATATTTTAAACAGCCTTAAGTAATTTTTAAAATTTGAAATAATCGTTTCTGTGAATTAATGAACAGTTTACTCAGGAAAAAAATTGATTGATTGAGAATCTAATCTCGCATATTTTCAAAATGCTTAACGTGTATCAGTTCAATTTGGAGCCCTGGAAGACCTACCCCAAACTCCTTTACTAACATTAGTTGAATTCAGAATAATTTGAAGCAAGGAGCGTTGTTTTAAATCTCATATCCAGAAATGCTCGCTGCAGTGTATTTTGCGTTTCAAAAAGATTTAGTCGAAAAATTATTTAGTTGCATTCAAACGATTTGATACAGTCCTGTCAATCGACTCCTGTCGCATATTGTGAAACGCCGGCTCAAGGAAACTGTCGCAGATAATATTTATTTAGCGTGTGGAATGTTTTTAAGCTCAATACGTTTTATCTCTGGACCGTCTGTCCTGCATTAACTGCCGATAATTTTTTACCAAACCTTGCAACAATGTTCTGTTGAATTACAACCGTTTTGAAAGTGAAGTTAACAATTCTGTAAATTGAAATCCGTTAATTGCAATTAAAGTCGAAAGATTTTTACCGGTTAAGTACTACGAGTAGATACTATCGATCTGAACAGATTAATTATATAGGTATTTTTGAAACCTGCGTATTACTTACATTTTATTGAAATTATTTTACCTTTTACGTTAAATTGTTTGAAGTGCTACCTTGCTCCTTCAACAATTTCAATTCAACGATTCTCGCCAATATTCAAAAAGGCAAACATTTTCATTCAGAAAAGCCATATTGATATTTGTGCCCTTTCCTTTAGAAACAAACATTTGCAGCATTTGTTGCCAACCCGAAATGGACTGTGCCGCGAAGGCCAACTTCCTCGTGCAAGCGGGGCTGAAGGGAACAGTTTCGCCAATAAAGCTTCTCACCACCTTTGAGAAAATTAACATTACTTTTAAACATTGATAAATAACATTTAGTTTACTCCTTCGCAAATTATTTGTTAAATTTTTTTAACTAATATTTTACAACCGAAAACCGTGAATCCAACCAATGTATTTAACAAACTTGTATTTCACAAATTTAGGATTTTATTAATCGACCCTCTTACTTTTCCCGCTAAAATATATCTAACAAAAATATATACACTACATTGCTAAAACTTATGACAATTAGGAACCGTTTTGAACAAATTTTACATTAAATTTATGAAATTTTGCAAAATCAGTTATACGAGTACATTTCCATACTTTCAAAACCTCAAAATCTTGTTTAAAAAATGAAATATCACAAAGGTCCATTTGTGTTAATGCAAAATGAATTTCCCGAAAGGAGCGAGTTTTTAATTTGTAAAAGTGTTTCATTATCTTGTATCAGAAAACGCCAAACATTACCATGCAAATGTTTTTATTAAAATAAAACTTTGGTGCTAATTATACCGTCAGTGGCTGGTGCACATTCGGCCATCGATCCCCAGTAGTCCTCTTCATCACTGCACGTTCAATCTTTTAGATCTCCAAAGTGTGTCTGCAATGCTCTCAAATGAGAGGTCTCCATTTAGAATCGTAAAAGTGAAAAGTTGGCCTGTCGCTGGCGAGACACTATACTAGCTGAGCTGCTAACATTCTTAAACCTTCAGGCTCCTGCGATACCCTCGGGAATCTGCTCTAAGAAGTTACTCTAGGAGCCCAAATTACGAAATTTGGTTTTAAAGAGTTCATTTAAAATTCTAAAACGGGCTACGTTTACTATTTTATTTCACTTTCAGTAAAGATGCAATAATCACTAACATTTTGGAATTTTGGAAGAGTTTAATTTCGTAATTTCACAGAATGTCCCCATAAGTCGGCTTATCTTGAGTATACCTCATACACAGAAAATTATGTACTACTGCACAAAATTGGTGTCCATATTTCCCCAAACACCATATTTTTCAACACGCCCGTTCCTTAAGCAATGCAATAGTACATAAACCGTTCGAAATATTTTTATCAAGATTGGTATTCCCAGACAGATATCTGAAAACTTAGCCTTGCAAATCGGAAACTTCCTGAGCACTGGTAGTCAACATTAAGTCCGTGAGAGATTTAAAAGAATTTCTAAAACCATTATCATTCAATAATTGAAGGAATTTAGAAAAACACGGTTGTATTCATTAAACATGAAATAACCGTTACAAATCTTCCAAAAAAGAATTTTACAAACACAACATGAGTGACACTTTCTAAAATCTTATTTCGTAAGGCCCTCTCCCCAATTTTTTTTTTTTTTTTGCGGACGGGAGACTGCAAGAAGACGAGCCAATTAACTAAATACCACCAAGCACCGGTTTTCCAATTTTCAACAAAAATAATTACGTTTTCGGTTAGAACAAAACAATTGCTATCCTTACCTAGGGGCATTTTCTCAGCGTTGCCAGCAATTCGGCGTTCCTTTGGAGCTACCACCAGCCAGGGCCCTATAACTCCCATATAACGTGGTGGAAACCATTATGGTGGCGCGCTCTGCTGCATCACCTTCTTTACAGGAACTAAAACAG